AGGAAAGACGAACAGAAACTATCAGAAACTGTCAGCCAACTCCCATAAACTGTCAATGTCCAGCTCTTACTATGCTGGACCACACACTGTCCCTGGAAGACTTTCAGAAACAATTCGTAATAACCAACGCGAAAAACAAGAACACGGATTGGTGACTTGAGGATCCTTTATTCTTACGCCAATATGTTATGACAATAAATCACGATAGTACTTCTGATAGTTTTTTATCTTCCACCGAACAGCGTATGATGAGACGATGACTAATTGATTGATGACTCCCGCGAAGAATATGAAGTCGGTTTGAGCAAACAACCATGGATTGATCGTTCAATCTTCAACTTCATTGACATATGTCATGTAGCCAAAATTGCTTAAGGGCCTTAGGGGCTGAACTTGTTCGACCGGTTTCGACTGGCAGATGCTCCAATTAAATCCGTTTTTAACATGACCAGTCATCCTGAGAATTCAGGCAATATTTTCTGCGGTCTCTGAATGATATTTGCGACTGTTTTCCAACACTGGTAAGTTCACAGGATCAAGGTGTAACCAATAATTTCCTATATAACTGATACTGAACCAATCTTACAACGTATCAGAACGCACACAGGAATGAGGCTTGTTAAACCAAGTTACAGGATCAGGATGGGCAACTTCTCTGATGTATTCATGGAAACAAACATGTCTTTAATTATTTGTAATGATTTACTCCATGGTCTGAATGTTGTCCTGCAAAAACAGTGTTATCCTCCACCTATTCCATACGATTTGCCCATCATTCTAAACGATGGTTATTATTTTGAAAAACCAGATCCTGCTGACTCATATTTTCGAATTAACATAGCTCCAGAAAGTCGAGAACTTCGTACTATCGGTACGTACTGCAGTAATTTTAATAACGAATGGTAACCGTTTGGCATTGAAAAAACGGAAGACGTCGTCAAACAGATTGATGCCAGTATGTCCAATGTTTCATATGTACCTGTCCATGCCTTAGTTCCATGTTATCGTCCAAAGAGGCTTCTCTGTAGCACACAACAAGTTGGATCGGGTGTTCTTGACGAGAGACCGAGAATTAAGGCAGAGAAGTTCCGATTTTTCACCAGCTGTGTGCGAAGCCTAGATGTTGCGTTGGTCTGAGGAACTGGTTCGTAAAGCTGCTTGAACAACTTCGACCCCCACTACCTCCAGCTGGAAATAACGCTCACGATCGTTGTGAGACCATCTGTAGAGACAGACCTGAACGTTGGCTACACCTCCTGTGACTCTTTAGCCTGACCCACCTAACCTGATAGCCAGAATATCGTTAACACCACCCCAGCTAGTGAAGAGAGGATATAACACTCATGGCTGCTCAAAGGTATATTTATTACGGACGATATGGTGAAATATCAGTCCTAAGATTTTTATGACAATCAGTCATGCCATCCAGGTTCCTCTTAGCTAGAGGAATTGGATAGTCACAGAGTTCTAGTGTGTTCACATATTTTACAGTGAATTTTATGCATTAGTGGACAATACAACATATGATATGCAGTTAGGAAGGGCTTCTGAAAGGAATCAACTATTGAGACATTTTACCCGGTCTTCTTGAAATATAACTGTTCTGCCTTTCTCACCCTTGTTCTCACAATTTATTTTTATGTACGTTTGCTGCGACTGAAATGGTGGTCAATTACAGTGGTAAAAGTCACAACAAGAAACCTTCACATATGACTTACTGCGACCAAGTGAATCTACTTAGTGGAAACTGAATACAAAAGCATTATTGTCTCACTCTTCTGACCTTTTTATTGACTAATTCGACCATTTTCTTTTCATTCATTTTTTTCACTACGTTCCCAGTAGAACATAGAATTACTGCTAGGGGCTTGAAGTTTCTGTAGCAGTGTATATTCTTACAGGATGGGGTTGCTAGCCTCATGCCCAACCTTCCGTCTTCACCAGACTTACTACTGGCTTAGCGAGGTAAAGGAATGCGTCAGCCGGGGATCGTAGCCTGGACCACTTGCGTGGTTGGCGAGCATTCTATCGCTGTGCCACCGGCGCACATTTCATTCACTTAGGTCTTATTAATAACCAAATATGACTATCAATAGGCGTGTACGTTTTTCGTTCAAAGTCTGTATAGTCTGAACTGAATATATCGGTGTTTATCTCCCTTTCAAATTGCCTTAGGGACTAACAGGTGAAGGAATAATCTTATTTACACCGGCAATAAGGCCATAACTTAGTGCATACTCAAAACCCACAAGAAAGCGATCAGGAACCCTTATTCTCACAATCAAGAAGCGAGCACAAATAAATCAAATTGGTTTATACTAGCCCGTAAAAATGATATTGGATGCAACACACTGCGTGTAGTCAACCAAATTTACCACTGTCTACTGGTCGAATACACTACGCAGGTGTTTACCAAAGTTCGAGAACTTTTATCTAGAATCCAGGAGGCGGGCATAAACAAGTCGTTTTGTTCTAATGACCTTGAGCACGCGGGATAATTTCATTCAAACCAGCTAGTTAGGACTGGCGCCTAAATTGTTGGCAGAGTGCACGTGAGTTTGAGTGAGGATATAGGCCGACACCAGGTGTTATCGCGCAATGCCATCGGTTACCGCGCTCACGTCAACAGACGTTATAATCACCTATTTTTTTGGAAATAGATTATATTTGACTAGTTTTAGACTTATGTAGCCGGATGGCAGTATTTTGCTGTATTTTGTTCTTAGTAGAGCGTAAAATTGTATATTATAGCTCGGACGAATTATCAATGAAGAAGTCATCCTTTTTAAGAAAGTTCGCATAGAAAGACTATTATTTGCATTATAGTGCGTTGAGGGTTTGTTTATTTTCGAGTTGTTTCAGATCTTAAGGTTGTAAATATACTGCAGTCAATGGCTGTTGTCATTCCAGTGAATCTATTAGAATCTGGCCTATGAAAGATAAATAGCATGCAGACATAGGTTAGATGTGTGCTTTGAACATGTTAAACTTTTCTGTTATCATCCGGGATGACTGAAATATTCCATAACACATTGACGACATTATGCGATGAATGAGACAGGCTGCTGAATTTCCTGGTTATTATATCTATTTAGATGAAGTTCCTAGTTAAAAGTGCTTGGGCGAAGATGTGAAAATAGTTTAATTGACATTTGCACATGGAATTTCACAAGGCCTTAATTGCTCAGTGCATGAAATGGCATCAGAGTATATTGACATCAGTGTTCATTGTGTCTGGAAGAATAGTATAAATAGTCCTTCTCAAATGTCAGAGTACTTAAAATTAGTACCAGATTTATGTCGATTAGTAGCTGGCGGCTGTGTCGTACAACTACTACACCTGTTACATAGGTTATATCAATCTTAAAAATTATTTTGCTTCACATCACTAAGATATTGTGAGATCCTTAATGACTTAATTGTGGCTATGAAAGATGTGGAAGATGCACTTATGGCTCATATATTTAACGCAGTTATTATTAGACAAGTTATCTGTAAGCAACTTGTGATGTTCTGAATACTGCAAACTGTTGATAAGAAACTGCATTAAAGGAAAAAATGCTGAACAGCTAGAAAATACTACTGCAGTTTCGTTGGTTGTTACCTTTAGCATTTGTAACTCATTATTCCAAAGCTGCGATTGACGCCAAACCATCCATGGTACCCCACAGGCCCTATTGAAATTTGTGAGACATCTTACATGTCAGGTTGTCTTCCATATTATAAGGTTGCAGATCTTTCAATTTACCTCTCACTGAAGTATCACTTATCTACTTCACTATGGTCTTTTCATTTGTGCACTATTACACTGCATTTTATGTTAACTGGATATGCCTTTATGCTTACAGTCTATTTGCTTTTATTAGAAACACAACAACAGCAGTGTTGGAACAAAGCTGTATTTTCATAGAAAACATCATATTTTCTATCCTTACACCAATATGGTTGGCATTAAACATTGCAGATGTATACTCACATTCCAACGACATAGCACTTAGCCAAATGTACGGTGTTCATTATTAAGGGTTTACAATTTAACTCTTATAATTCATGATACTTCACGATTGCAGTTTATAACATAACTTATTGCGCCTGTAGAAATGACATGCATTCATTGTAAACATTGGTTTAAACGAAATTTGAAATTATTACTATATGCTTGCTGCTATCCTTTAGAAGAGGAATAATGTGTGTTGCAGTGAAAACCCCAGAATAATGATGTCATTACCAAAGAATGAGAAAGGAGAATAAACCATTTTCAGCAAAGGTAGGCAGATATAAATCGTTTACCTTTAATATTACTTCTTCCTTACTTCAGCTATTTAAAAAACACTTTGTTTACTTATTTGTAGATATCTGGTAACGTCAATCACCCCAGTCACAGAGATTCGACATTGCACAAATTATTCCGACAATCGACTGCGTAAACACATTTGCTTGTTATTATTTTTTCATTAAATACATTTAATATCCTGCTTACCAGACCTTTCTTATTATATCTGAGTTTAGATGTATTTGTCATGATGACTAGGTGCAGACATGACTTATTAATAAGAACTGACGAAGTAATTGGTGGCATATTTTAGTGTAAGCTAAATCTAAATACGATTGTTAAAGCTCAACGAATTCAATAATTCGTCTGGTGTAGAGTTGAATTTACGCTACATGTCAACAGCCTTAGTCATATGGATTGACATCACGCTTTAAGTGAAACATTAGTAATGCAATACTTTCGAATACACGTAACCGTATAAGAACTGGGACTCGAATGCAGTGCCTAAGGTATGCCTACTATTGTCCCTAAAGACTTGTATATGACTATGATACTTATGCACGTTAGCTAACTGAAATACTTATAATTTAACACGTATGCTGACCGACATCGTTCCTACACAATTACACTTACGTATTGTTAGTAGTGAAAGTCCTAGAGAGCACCGGTCTAGCATGCCGTGCTCACAAAGTGAACACATGAATTGAAAGACAACAAAATTTACATGAAAATTTTATTTTCATTATGACAAAAATTTAGTTTATTTACATATTAAGAACACGATTGATTCCTGCGATTACTCCGTCTGCATAAGCATTGGCAAACACTTCTCCAAATTTGTCATTAATTCTGTCCATACCCGCATTGATAATCTTCTTTTTGGTATCGTATATGTTACTTCGATTTCGAGGGATAACTGCTGACGTACTTTGAGATGCGAACAAGTTGCGTGACCACGTCCATTGTTTACAATTATGCATCACATGGTTAACTACAAAAGGTGGAACAAAAAAAGTTAAGATAACTATGAACTGATTATTACATTACATTATACATTAAAAACGTAGTCATAAAAACGCAAATATACCTGTGAAATACGGCTTTCTTAAGTGGACCAAAAGCAAGTGTCGGCAGGGGTACCGACAGGTCTGAAATGTAAAGCACGTGCAGGTGCAAGCACTCAGATCAACCTGCACTGTTTTCCCATTTTCTTTGAAAAATACATAATCAACGGATTCGAACTCAACAGTAGCCCATCGTCGCAATTGGTATTCACGTATTACCTTCCTCGCGGCGTATGGTGTAAGCAACCGTATAATTGGGATTAAACTTTGTGAACAGGGATACGTGAAGCATCGTGATTGAGCAATATTCGCCTCCTGCTGTATTATTGAAAAACTTCGTTTATGCCATTTATACACCTTTAGCATACTTTTATGCAGACTATCAGATCTTTGCAAAAACCGTTTCATCTGCTTGTGGGAACTCTCGACACGATTATTTGTATCGTTCCCAAAAGTCAGCACGTTATCTCTGAAACAGGCCGCCCACAATTCTCGTCGATGCATCCAACGACGTTGTAGGTATTGACTGACATTAGCGTCCAATCTGCTAATAACTCTGAAGTAGAAATTAAATCTGCAAAATGAGAACAATAGAGGCATTACTCTGATCTCCTTTTACACTGCACTAGACGGCATAAGTAGTTCTTCACAATGGGATTTCTTGTCTACGAATAAAATGTAAAGTATGCTTTGAAAAACTTACTTTCCGACAGAAAGCTCGGCAAACATGAAAAGAACACAAAACAATGTGCGCTTGTCTGTGCGTTAACTTGACGGCTGCTATTTCAGCTTGCGCACAATCCATAATGAAGGATTCTGTTTTCGAGGTGTCTTCCATTATTTGCCGGAAACAGTCTAATATCCAAACTACATCTCGTTTGAATTCTTTTCTAGTCCACGCAAATAAAACTGGTCGTCCACGACCAAAATTATCCGTCACAAGTAGCTGGAACAAAGAATACCTGCACGTTGACTAATGAATTGGTAAACTTACTTCCCCTTATTCGTATTATACGTCGAGTCGATACCAACAACTTCAGGGAACTGTTTATACAATTCCATTTGCTCATAAGTTGCAAAACAAATTCTTGTTAGTGAATTCCTGATCGGTTCATCGGAATAATACTCCATTAACTTCCCACGGGATTTTAGGAATTCAAAAATGTCACGACGACTCGAAATACCTTAAGTATGTAACAAGTACGTCAACGTTACCTTTATTCACTGCGGCTTTCATATTTTTAACGTCAATGCGAGTTATATCCTTGTTGTACTTCTCCTTAACATGCATTATTATTTCATCGGATGAGTGGGATTGCTGAAGAAGTGGTTCAATATTTTCTTTCTCTTCAACTGTTAGTCGTCTATACCATGGGTCATTCTGCATGTACACCCTGCTGCATGGATGGTTATGCACCATATTGTGGGAAGCAATTATGTATTCACTATGATGCAAAACCACGCGAAATGAAGACGAGCAATTGCAACATTTAGACCTGCAATATTCATGAAATCATATTACACTTCTTCTTACGACTTGTTTTTCAATTTCAATCCAGGTCTTGTACGATTCACTCCAAAAGTGCATTTAAAACCAACATAAGCGTACTTAAACCTGGCATCCGGCATCGTTTTGCTGCAATTATGAACATAGTGAGTGTAGGATAACTACACTGTTAGCATTAAATGACTTCCTCACTTTTTGAAATTCTGCTAATGACTTCTCAAATTCATCCCAGCTGAAGAAACGCTTTCCAAGTATGTATTCAGCAAAAATTCCACTTAAATCTGTGCTCCTGTCACTCGAATTGACTACCTGCAACGGACTAAAATAAAGTTATCAATTAGGATCCATCTATGTCACAACTATTCCAACATAAATCGTAAAAAAACAACATTGAAATACAGGGATGATCGATAACCATCAAGAAAATGCCGCACGTATAACCTAAATTACAGAAAAACACAAGAACCCACCGGTTCGTTGACATCGCAAGCAACCAATAGACCAAACAACGAATTGTACGACAAATAATGCCTAGTACATGCACAAACAAAGAAAAACAAAGCGTTACAATAGTTTCATACACGTTTACAGTAATCACATATGCTGGCAAACGACGCAAACACAACCACGCAAATACAGCACCCGACAGCACGCACCCAAGGACAATTCAAACTCCAATTGACCGCCACCATTCTAGCCAATGAAAGACGAAAAAAAATTAGTCGCGGAAAATATAACACGAGACAACGTATATACTCACCCCGTGAGTTTGGCAGCCTGTAGACGGCTGTAGGTCATTTGATCAGCTGATGGATATTGGAGTTATTTTTGTAAAAAACGTCAAGGTTGGGTCATTTTTCGTTGTTTTACACACTTTTTTACATATATTCCAGCTAAAAGTTGATGAAATACGGCGTATTTAGCAGAAATAAGCAATGGTGGTGTCCTTGTCCTGCCGTAGCTTACAGGCAGTTTTCAGTGTGTTGAAAAAACGTACTTTTCCGTTCAGAATATGTCGAATTACTCGAAGACACATGTTATAATGACCATTTTGTGAATTTTTTGGCATTTTAATGGATTACTCATGGACATGATGAGGTGGGATAGCTCGTTTTGGTGATTATTTCATTTAATTTGTTGTGTACTTTTCCTAATGCTGACAAGGCTCCTCCACATGTGTTTCTTTATATGTATATGTATATATAAGTAGCCCAATAGTTTTCACTAAACTTAAGGGACTTTGCAACCTATCGTTGGTCGATATTCAGTAGGTCCATTGAAGCACCATGAAATGATAAAATTATGTAACAACAAGTTATGCAGTAGTTTTTAAATCTTGTACAAATATTTTAGCAAAAATGACAACAACTTTATGACAAATAATAGGTCTTGACAGCAATAATAATGACATTCATGTTCATAGTGTCTATTAAAACAATAATAGGTATTATTATCGCAGCGAATTCATCATTAACTTAGATAGACAACTGATAATAATACAATCATATCAAATAAATGTATCACTTAACCTTAAGAAGCATGTGTTTACTTACTTTCACTGTATTCTATCAATACTGATGTGCTCAACAAGCTTATCCCAACTGAATTCAAGATTAATTCTGAAAGTGAGTGGAGATCCAGTTAATGTCAAATAAAAACATGTAACTTACATGTATTGCACTGCTTACTGAGACATCTGATACCTGCTTTCCGATCTTAGTGACAAGAACACAGTTTATCTAGGTTTACCTACATATACATGAGTATATGTATATGCTGCATCAACCGTGCCATTTTTATCATGATTAGACAGATCACTGTGTATATCATACTTATTTAAGGATCTCTGAAAATAATGGTCAAGCGATAATTGAAGTTGCGTGAAGTTATTACCTCTTCAGAACATTGTTTGCATTCTTGACACTTCTGAGAAGTCCTTAGATCTTAATTTGGCATGAGTTCATTGAATTCAGCAAACAAATCCACTGGTATATCATTTCTCTCCTGAGCTTTAACAGTTTGTGTTGTCAGTTATCTCTCAAATTTGATAAAACGATCCCGGAAATTCAGAACTTAACCAAGCAGCAAAATGATGTTTGAAATTACCTTGCCTCGAATGACAAACTGGCCAATCACGAGCGAGCGAATCGCTTGTTTATCTCATTCGCGGTCACTCAAAATTACGGCCGTCTACAGGCTGCCCGTGAGTTTTGGAGTGAGTCAGTAGAGATGATTCTGAGATGTTTAACCTGGAAGAATATAATTGGCAGAAAAAAGGTCATTTGACTTAGGTGTCTATTCTTTACTTTTGCAATGTTATCTTTAAGACGGTTGCGTTTATTTGTACTCATTACACCACGGTTAAAATGAACAATTTTTGCTAATTTTAAGATAAACCAATCCAACGCACCATTGACGTGCGAATGCGCACTCAGATCAACGTAGTGAGACCAAGAAAACAGCATACTCGTAAAGAAATGACATTAAGGTAATACAGAACACCTAAAGCCGTACTTTAGTTTCTTGATAATGAATCCTTAGTCATAGCTGCGTTTTTATTTCGCCAAAATCTAACGAGTTTTGGCAGTTGGTCGTTTGAGGGTTACTGGTGCGTCCATCCCCCTTGAATCGCTGTTCTTTAGTTTTGTCGTTCGTCGAGCAATTGTAAAACAAGGCGTGACTGAATTTAGTTTCAACTGACTGTGAAGGGAGTGCCAAGAAAGTACATTTCACTAATCAAGGCACTCTATTCAAACTCACGTAGTCGTGTAAGGGCTTATGGGGAATTGTCATCTGAATTGGTAACAACCAGTGGTGTCCGACAGGGATGTCCACTTTCCCCATTTCTGTTTAACTTCATCATAGAAATGCTAATGGAAGTATCCTTAACTGAACGTAGTGACTTAGGAATCGACTTGTTACCAGGGAATAGTCTAATGGACTTAGAATATGCAGATGACATAGTCCTGTTAGGGGAGAATGCTGACAAAATGCAGAGTCTTCTGAACACCTTGAGCAGCAATCTTCGTATGTTTGGCATGCGATTCGTCCCTGCAAAATGTAAGATGCTGCTACAGGACTGGACCCCGTCAATCCCTAACTTAGTGATAGGGAGTGAAGTGATAGAACATGTTGACCACTTCACCTACTTGGGAAGTTGTATTAGCACCAACGGACTGATTGGCGATGAAATCTCAGCACGGATCCGAAAAGCTCGAGCTGCTTTCGCTGACTTACACCATCTCTGGCGTAGGCGTGACATCCGGTTATCAACCAAGGGACGTGTGTACTGCTCACCAGTTCGCTCCGTCCTTGTCTATGGCTCTGAAACATGGCCAATACGCGTTGAAGACATGAAAAGGTTGACTGCTTTCGATCATAGATGTCTGCGATCTCTGTCTCACGTTAGGTGGTTTAACAAGGTAAGTAATGTTGACGTTAGGCGTAGAGTGTTGGGCAAAGAGGAAAAATCAATCGACGAGGCTATAAAGTTACATAGACTGAGATGGCTAGGTCACGTGCTGCGCATGCCTAACCACCGCCTCCCCCGACGGGCATTGCTAGCTGACATAGGTGCAAGTTGGAAAAGAGCCAGTGGTGGCCAAACAAAAACATGGCATCAATCCATGAAGTCCTTGACAGTTAAACTGAGTCAGGTTGGGAGATGCAGACTCCCGGGTTTGGGGCCTCGGGACTCTGGGAATCAATGGCTGGAGACAATAGGTGACATGGCTCAAAATCGTTGTCAATGGCCAGCGCAGATGTATTCAGTCTCTGTAATCTTTCATATTCCTTTCTACCATTACCCATTCTGTTTCACTCTTATACTTGTCAGACTGTATTGATTCTCTTCACTCATCTTCTTGTCTACCTTTGTGTGTGTGCTATTTGGAACGTGGCAACTCGAACTGCTGCACTTCGGTGCCAAGTTCTATGTTGAATCCAGACAGAGACAGACAGTTTCAACATGTGCATTTATAATATGTTCTTGACGACCATGAGATAAGGTGACTGCTGTGGTGTAATTGCTTATGTTATTTCTGGGAATTTCGATATTTTCTCATTTCTCAACATATTAAATGTGACTTTCCTGGATCTCTAGTGACAGTAAGTTAACCAGCACTTGTTAGATGCAATTTATGCTCAGGTGGTTAGTTATGCAGGGACTTTGAGTTATCCGTGTTACTTTTTAACGGAAAATGTTGAATAATATTGCAGCAATGGGCTTAACCTCTGGTGGATTGATGGGTGAGCAATCGTTGTGTGGCACTTTTTCCAACTGCACCACTAGTTCACTGCTATTTTCTATTTTTCGTCTTTAACCACACCCCTTATATATTACCCCTATTTAGTCAATCCCGGCCGTCTTCGTCAATATTTTCCTCAGAAGTCATTTACTCCCTTTTCATGGCAACCTGTCAATTTAAAATGTATTAGTAGAGAAACAGTTAGGTGATAGTGCAGATGATGATTAACTGAACGGAACCGTAGAAGTTGATCACCGTTGGTTTGTTGGCATAGAACTCCGTAGGTGCCACTAATTCCTCTGACGGGCACAACTTGTCTACCTGCTAAAACGAACACATGCAGTAGTTTTGCCATTAGCTTATGATAGGGCTCACCCTTCGCTTGACGTGATGTTTTATACAGTAATATTAACTGATCAAGTCATATATGATGATGAGCAAGTTTGTGCTCGAAACATCATCAGTTAATATTACTGTATGACACTGTGATTTATCAAAATAAAATCTTATCTATAGTGGAATTATAGTCTACAACAGTGCCCAAGTTTTGTACTTATATTAATCATATGTTTTGTTGGGGCGTATGTCGAGACTATGGTAAGTCGTCAGTGGATATCGCAGTCTTCCCTTTTAGCAAATCTGTTCAGATGAACACAATGTGCGACTTAACATTGGGGTCCAACCAAGTTGAGATTTTTCTTCCCCAGCACTCAAAACCACGGCTTCACCTATAAATCTTCGCGAACTGGCCAAGACATCTCTTGAAATCCATTGAGTGAATTTTTCAGAACTATTTTATTAGCCAAGGGAAGTGAACAGTCATACTTAGACCTTGCATGCGTGTCTTAGAAATACAACCGTGACACGCGACGCCAGAGTTCTGGCAAATGTAGCATGTTGTCCGATTTGGCAGACAGTCTTGATGTTGAATACTCCAATCTCTAGTTAGCAACGCGGTTTTACGAGACTATCAGTAGTATTTTTCAGGCTCTTGTTGCAATGAATGGTCGCCGAGATAAGAGATGAGGGACGTATTTGTGGAACTGCGGCAATAAAGTAAGATTATGGAAGTTAGGGAGATGAAGGTGAGTAACTAGGAAAGTTTTGTGCGTGGCTGTCGCCCAACTCAACTCCTTGGGTAATTCGGAACTCGACCACACATAAACGGCTCTACATGACTGTTATTTTGCCTCATCATGGGTAACTTTCCATTTTTGTTCGGATTATGAACTACTTGGTAACACTTAAAATATTACATTGATTGCTTTATGAATAATAATCTGTCTCAAGTGATATAGTTTAGATAGGTTATTAATAATAGATCCGGTCCCACACATTACAGTAACATGAAAGGTGTGAAAAAGATTTATCATCCCGGAACCAATGTTTTCCGTCAGTGTAAAACTACACGCCTAATACATGCCGTTATAAGTATGAAATATTTAAGTTACGTATTCCAAGTGGAAGTAGAAGGAGGAAAACTCGTAATATATAATCCACCAAGTCCATTAAAAAAATGCTTTTTTTAAATTGTGAATCCATATTCAAATTCTAACAACTATTCTAGCAATGTGATGATTCTGTTCAGTTCTTAAATCTACACGAATGCACTGATAACTCATTTCAGGCACTGACACTAACCAGTTAAGAGATTTAAACAAAGTTAAGATTGTATTTTGCGCAGCTTATTGTGCTGTGAACTTAAGTAGAAAATTAGGATGGTTGTTTTTGAAAATTTCATACGCGTGTTATTTTATTCAGCAGGCTCTCATAAGTTGCAAACTGTCCGAAATTGCATGAAGTAAAAACAGCATACTTTCAGTATCAGAATAACATTACCTTCGAGCATTTCTGGTGCATAGTATGGTCAATTTATATGGATTACTAAGGAGAAACTACTAACCCTCGCCAACGATACCCTGTGGCTATGTAATCTATCTGAGTTCAGCGTTGATTTGGTGATGGAGGTCGCCAGGTTACACAATGTCTCTTTTTGTGCCTAAAGTCAGTGCTGACTAGGAACAGATGATTATCTGAGCGAAACTGTAGAAGACGATTACCGTTTTCGGTTCGTCGGCAGGGGACTCTATATGTACGCCCTGCATAATTCTCAGTCTGGCACAACTTCCCTACTTGGGATATGAAGTCGCCTGCTAAAACAACTATACTTATCCCCCTCTCTCCGGAGTGGAGAGACAGCATAGGTGGCATGCTGGTCATCTCAGGGAAACACCCCACTGCTGTTACACCCTTGTTCCCAGCAGTACGACTTCGCCCTCAGACCTCCAGCATAGTGTGAGAAAGATTCTTACACAATGCCGGTAACTACTTTTAGTCTAATCGCTATTCTTACAACCTTCCTGGCGTGGTAGGACCTGAGGGAACATTGGTTCCAGTCAGTGCAGCTTGTTGGATCATAGGGATGTGGAAGTCAGACCACCACGTCAAGGTAGCAGCTATCGATCGGGATAAGAAGTGAGTACTGATGGAAAGCTCTCCTGAGAGAACGGATTCAAAACATATGATTCATCTTGTCACTCGTAACTACAAAAGCATTAGGTTAAGTGCCGATGAAATGGCTTCATATTCGGTTATTTTGTTTAACTACTGAGGTACTTTTTAACTAAGAAACTGTTTTCGACATAGAACTTTTAAACTAAGAAACAGTTACAGTAGTTTCTAGCAGAGATGGTTCCTAAATGGAAGGGAAATATCTAGAGTGATGAAGCACGTCTGTGACACCTACGGTGTAAAATATGACATAGATATGCTGCAACAGCCTTCGATTTGGATTTATTGAAGGACAAATCAAGCGGTCTACACACACGGAAGTGATTAAACACGAAGACGTTGTACCTCCACAATGCACAAGACTGTTTGAATCGAACAATTATTTCGGTCGAAATGTCAGCATTTTCGACCAGGTTAATCAAAATAATGCGTGTTTGTTCTTGAGAAGCTTTTTTTGTAACATGTTTTAAACGTAATCTTGTTCTAGTGTTAGAAGATACGCCATAGTCTGAAAATGAAGACGCTACATCCGCAGAGTCGAAAAGCTGCCCAAGAAAAAAAGCATCTACATCATGTGCAACGTGTCGCTAAGTAAGTCAATCAAGTTTTCGTACAAATGTGTGCAGAAGACAAAAGCAACATGACGTAAAAATGAGAATGCTAAGTAGGTAACATATATGAATTTTTCAAAAAACAGTTTCGAAATTATCTTGGTTCCGTGATAATCTACCAAGCGAATGTTTATCCATGAAACAGGATGATGTTAAAAAACTTATTTCGAGGTATGAAGCGGATTCATTTCTATTTTAATAGATACTTACAACGTAATGGAGGAAAGGCGAGCAATAAATCACGACCTGTATCAATTTCCACCGACATTAATAATCTCTACGTTGAACAAGAATATCAAGAGTATTTGACGTGTGGAATCGAAATTCCAGATTTGGCCTCAAAGCTGAATGTCGAAAACCTCCGGTAAGCTTTTATAATTTGAGCAGTTATTTTATTGCAGAATGTGGAATGGAAACCCTGACAAAGTACATACGATTGTCATGACTACTGTAAGAAGTTCAAAACAATAGTGTTTGTACAAGTAAAAAATATATTAATCTGTGAATGCAGTAGTTACTTTTCGACTAAATCGATGGGTTGAACAATGGATAGATGTTAGCATATTTGGAGTGGAATTGTTCTGATCCTCACAGCATGTACGACAAACTGATCGAGCACAGTTTACACTCTGAAAGAATATAAAAAATTAGGACGAACTTTCGTTAATAGATGATTGAGGAACGGAATTTATACCCTAATAAACAAAGAATTTGGAAGCAAAACTGAAAGTTAATTTTAAATCCATTTTATCGCGATATGGTATATATATATACTACTTTGCTGGAATGAAGGCTAAGAAACCCAATACAAAGGGTAGAAGTAGCACATCACCGAAGATTCGTGCAAATGACGATTTCCAGACATCATTCTACTACATGTGTACCGCAAATTGCTAATAAGCATTCGGTTACCAACTCTCTTGTCTTCTCCGGCTAAAGTGGAACCGCAATACTGCAGTATGATGACAGTGAGGTTCAACTCAAAAGGTGGGAAGCTACTCAATGCTATGCTCCTACAGACAATTCTAAAACGTAATCGACAAGACTTCAAGCAGTTAGATGGCGACATCAAATTTTTAGTAGGTGATATGAATGCCGGGTAAACTGGGAGCCGACTCATCATGGGTGTATGGATGCTCGGTGGGATGAATAACAACTGAGAATTCTTCGCGATTTCTATGCTTTTAGTGATCTGGTAGTAGCAGGCAGTGTCTGCGAGCATAAAGGCAGGGTGGCATGGGTCTCACCAGACGGACCACATCTTGATTTCAAGGAAGTGGAGATCTAGTCCTCTAGACACGAAATAGGGAAGAGGGACACTAGGACTCTCAAAATGACATGAATAAACCTTTGTAGACATCTTAGCCAATAAGCAGCATGAATGGCAAAGTCTAAATTATTTATCTGAAAATAAGTTAAACCTTCTTGAGTCTGTTTGATTGAATCAATTTTCAGTAAATGCCGATTATGTTTCACTCTACATCACCATTAATCACACCGTTTAACGCGCGTCTAAACTCAATTGATTGAGTTTCACTCACTCAAGAAACTTCGATTTCTTACATAACTGCTGCGATTCGCTACGGCTTACTAACTTAATATTACTATTTATTCATCCATATAAAATGGTGGTTTAACAGTTTGGTACTCCAAAGAACTAAGGTGTGTTTAAACTGTAATAAAACCAACTTAACAAAATGGATCTCTTTTATCTTTCTTTCCATGTTGTTATAACGTTGTTTAAATTTTTACAACAGACGTGTCAAATTTCCACGGTATATCACAATGTATTTTAACAGCATGTTCATCTGAAGGTAATATTTCAACTGCTTACTCCAGATCAACTAGTTTTTGACACCGTTAGCGAGTTTAAATAGCAATAGGGAGTTAAAGCTGTTAAAAATACCAAAGAGACTTGAAATCTTCAGTAATATGACTTTTCAGGATTCCATACAGCAATAATAAATTTCAAAGTATCTATTTTTAAATTAGTATGTGAAGTGTAGACCGAAAGGGAAAAACACAAGTTAATGTTATTTAAACTGAAGATGGTGTATATGTGTGTGTGTGCGCCAATCTTTGAATAAAACGCTCAGCCGCATACATGTATGCATTCTTAACAAAACAATTGTCCTAAGTTACCCTTTCAAGTTTGTTAGGGCTGTCTTGCGAACAAACAGCACCCTATTTACACGTCGTAATATTGTTTAGTCTGTAACAATCCAGTCAAATCCATAGACTACGACAGTAAATGATCGTTTTTGGGCAATACATACGATAAAGATGTTCTTATTCATACACTGCTTCGTTCCATAAGCTGCAAACACAAACTACTTTTATGCTGTGCAAATAAATGGTAATGAAAACAACAAAGTAGGTAATCAGTTGTGCTAATGTGATCATTAACTGCCCGAGATACTAAAAGCATTGTTTGAGATCAACTCGCCTTTCGATTTTTGTTGCAACTGGTACAGATAAGTTTTCCTTCAATAACTGCCATTTTCTTAGCCAGTTTGGCCTCCTTTTTCAAAGCTCTTCGTTTAAGCCGTTGTTCAGTTAGCAGAGTCTTTTTGGTTGATAGATTAATATCTGCCTCTTGAATATCTGTTCTATTGAGTGAATCATGCTCTGTCAGTGTCTTTGGGCGTTCATACGGTTGGCATATCCAATGCGGATGTGACAGGTCAGTAAATTTATTACCAGTGCATAGCTATTTTTAAAAAGAAAACATACAGTGAAGTAACTTATACTCTTAAAGCAAGTTAGGACTAGTCCACCAGTAAATACATGTACCGGAACTGAGTTTTCAGTATGAAACCTTACATAAATGTGCAGCAGTTCAAGTTATTGAAAACAAAACACGTAGTTCACCGAAGAGTCTCTTTTCGGCAACTTCTTTTACTTAGGATATATGTATTGCGTACGCAGCGCTTTCCAGAACCATTTTGGATATTCACGATTCTTAATACAGCTCTCGAAGAATTCCAATTTGACATTTACTTCGGCGAATTTGACAGAGTGAGGGCCGAAAAGATATCTTTGTTGAACTTTGCGTTCTCTTCTTTCTAATGTCCTAATGAATATTTCTCATGATCTTCAGAAATGGTAAGGACCCTTCGACAGTGAAGGAACGCTACTCTATCGAACTCGCCAAAGTAAATGCAAAGTTGAAATCCTTAGAAAGCTGTTTTAAGAATTGCGAATATCCTAAATGGTTCTGGAAAGCGCTGCGTAGACATCATATGTATCCTAATTCGAAAACTCTTCAACGTCACACTAGAAACGTCATCGATTCCATTAGTTTATGTATATTCGAATTGCAGAGAAATATATCTCAGAGGTCTTCCGCTCTTCCTGAATTATCATCAATGAAGATATCATACTGGTGTAGAACAAAAGAGCTGAAAATGTTAAGTCGAATTTGAACAAAAGCCTAAAATACATCGTAGTCTACAAGAAGTTCCCGAGTGATCCTAATAAATTTGTCTTCAATCACTCCTTCAGTTACTATATCACGCCAAGACTAGAAGCTCTATCTCTTGGATTAAAAATTCTGCGACGTGAAATCTCAACAGCAACAGACTTCACACATACATTCAATTCGAGAATCTTATAAGTCAAATGAATGAAATTATTCCAGTTTTCGACTCAGAATTTCTACATTTTAAGTTAACAATCTTCGACTGCTGTAGTTAATACCTCATCTTGAAAACTAAAGCCCAACGTCTCTTCCCGAAAGAACACAGACAACCCAAAGAACTACGAGACACTAAAGATTTAATAATATCACGTACTGACAAAGGTTCAAGAATGGTTGTAATGGATAGAGATGTATACATTATTAAATTGCCAACTATTATATAAGATGACAACAAATTTTCCTAACTAAATAACGAGAAAAATAGGACAGAATTGATTGAAAAACAACTAACAGATGTTCTCAGAAGAATTAAAAACTACCATGTGATAACTGAGGACCTGTTCGATCACCTGAAACCGACAGGATCAAATATACTAAAGGTGTACACACCTGGTTTGTCGCTTCGACCAATTATAGACATGTCAGGGTCACTATACCATGCAATCGCCAAATGGCTGTCCGAGATGTTGGAGCCTGTAACACAACTATGTCAGTACTCCTTTCGTGATATTTTTGAGTTTGTTGAATGCATAAAATATTTGAATGTAAGTGGTAAACGAATGTCACCCCTAGACGTCGAATTTCTTTTTACCAACGTGCCACTTACAAACAATTTGCTTCCTGTGCAATTATATGTAGAACTCGAATATTAGCATCGGAATGACAACATCGTGTCTAAAAGAACTGTTGCTGAGATGCACGCTGAATGTACAATTTACTTTCACCGACGATATCTATAGACAGAAAGATGGGATCTCCCCTTGGCCCGCTTTTAGCAAACTGCTGTATGGCCAGTTTGAAAAGCAGTATTTTAAAATAAATAATACAGATTATTACGTCGACGATACCTTTATAGTCTGCTGCAACTTTAATTGTACCTTGCAAGAATTTAATAATTCCCACCCTTCAATTAAATTCACAATGGAATTAGAAAACGATTCAATTTCTGGATGTGGAATTCACAAGAGGGGATGATGGAATTCTGAATAGATCCATTCACAGAATACCAACGTGGAATAGCCAACTAACGAATTTCTATAGTTGGATACCTGTTGACCGAAAACCAGCTTTAACAATCGCACCAACTAACCGTATTAAAGGATTTTGCAGTAGTAAATACTTGGAAGAGGAATTCCTATTCCTCGAAAATATCCTGGCTCAAAATGGTCGACAAGACATGAAACCAAAACCACAAAGAGGAGAATGCAGTTCGGCACCGAAGAGAAATCTTTATATGAATCTGAACTTCAAGGGAGATTTGGCAGCTGATGTCCTAAAGAGGAGAATATCCAACTCTTTAAAGAAGACTTTCTCTGCAGCAACACTAAGTGTCATTCGCTAGCCGCCCAATACTTCTAAACAATGCAAAAGACAAACTCCCCGCATATGACCAATTCAACTGCTTGTGCGGAGCTAGGTACATAGATCGTTGTATGCGCGTCCTTCCGAGAAGTGTTAGAGAATATTGCCCAGCATAGCGGTAAAGAGTAGGCACCGTTCAATTATAAGTGCTGTAATTGAACATCCGATCAACACCTCCCGCAGCATCTCAACTGATTCATTTAGTCATTTACAAAGTAAACAGAAACCTACCAAAGGCAGTGTGTTTCCGACTTCTTTGTACTGCAGAAGCTCTTGCAATATGCATCAAAAAGCTGGAGCTGTGTGTTCAAAAGAAACTAGTCCATTTTTTACAACTACCACGGACCTAAGTCGGTATGTTCCCTTAGCCTTCGGTTTTATTTTGGTTTTGTTCGCTGAGTAGTTGTATCTCTCTGTCTTCATTCAATTCAGCTAATTTTTTCAGTTATAAGAACAGTTATTTGAAGTTTATTTTCATGTTCTTCCTGCTCGTTCAAAGTAACTATT